CTTTTGTGGGCATTTGTTCTTGGGTTGAATTGCAATTTCAGTCGGTAATTTGGTCTTCTAAAAGAACCCGTGAACGAAAGTGATTGCAAGGAGCAGGATCCCACCAAAATTCAAGAAAACAAAACACAAAAACATCTCTACGTGGATGGTGAACTCATTACGAATCTCTTGAAACCTTTTTTCGAAATTATACACACCTAACTTTAAAATTAGTTTTATTGATGAAATGTCACAAGATATATTCTCATGTTGATTATTTTAATGATTGTGTTTATAGAATCGTTCCTACTCTTCAGTAATTCGTGTTCTAATTCTTCTCTATGCATATTTTTTATTTCTAACATGATCCGGTAATCTGGTATATGCTTTTGGTGTTTGAGTGGGAATGAACTTAGTCAAGCAAACATGTTAGCAAAACCTCAATGTGGCTATACAATGCATTTGGAGTTGCATTAATTAGTTATTAGTTTTTTAATTTTATTTAAATTGAATGAAATAACATTCAAATGGTTACAGTTATAACAGACAAAGGTAGATTTCCCAACACTAATTCCGAGGTGGAATCGGAAAAGAGTAGTGACCGGGAGGAGTAGAGCCTGTAACCATTAATAAAGGGTTTAGTTTTGAGTTGGATGAGTTGTTGATAGCTTTAGTTTAGTTTATTTGGATAAAGTGTTGCTCGAAAATGGGATTGTGTTAGCCGTGAGGTGGTTCATTGGGGACGGTGAACAACCGTACAAGGAGTTTGCGGCGAAGATTCAAGCATCCTAATAAAAAAGCTAAAGCTACTGATCAGTGGTTTCCTTTATAATGGTAACTTGACTTCTATACACTCGTGGTAGTTTTTCTTTACCAATTATTTTTAATTAGTAAACAGTTTTTTTCCTTTCGTTTTTAAATTAATAAATGGGTAGTTAAATTCATTCCAATGTTTACTCATAGATTACAATGCGTAATATTGTGAAATTGTTTTAGTATGTATTAAATTAACTTAGTTTTTTTTTTTTTTCTAAATTTTTAGCTTAAACTTTTCTACAAAATATATCTACTATGCTTATGCGAAGTGAAATGTCTCTACAATGTTATTTATTTATTTATTATTATTTTTTTTGTTTCTAATATATGAATATAACCTCAATAAGTTAGTTGATGCTATATGTGAAAATAACCCCAACCAACCATTAGTTACCTCTCTATTTTACATATTATCCACTAACGTGAAGCTACAATGCCCGTTTGTGGGATTTTGACAAGTGCCATGGCAGTTATAGTGTATTACTTTCAATAAGATATATCATCATACTTTCAATTCTTATCTTATTAAGATCGAAAGTTTGAAATTTCCAGCCAATTATAGTGTTTTACTTTTTTACCGTATGAAATATGGTCAAAGTCAAATATGAAATTGGGGAACGAATGGAATAGCCTATTCCACTTAATTGATTTTTTTTTGATTGTGTTATCTAATGGAATAGAACGGACAGTTCTTGAACGAATGTAATTCGGTCAGTTTTCTTTTCATTTTTTTTTAATTTCATTTCTTAGTCTAAGGGTTGTTTGTTTTCATACCTTAATGAAAAATGAAATAGTAAATTGCAATATTATCTGTTATCTTAACGAATGATGCTCAAGATATAGCTTATATTCATCGTTTGACATTTTACTTTATTTTGGAAAAGACACAAATTGCCATTCATTAGTTAAGTTTGGTACATGCCTTAAAACTCATATCTGATATTTATATTGGGATTCTTTTTTTGAACCAAACATAATGAAATATTATTAAGTGAGCTAAGAATCATTAAACTTTAATAAGTAACTACGAGTTGGTGAGAAAATGATTGTCAGCACTTTGAGATCACAACATAGACATCCTACGTTGAACTCTATGGGTCGTGCTTAGCACGGACCTAAAATTTTTCTAGTATATATATATATATATATATATATATATATATATATATATATATATATATATATATATATATATATATATATATATATATATACACTTAGTGATAGTTGTTTTACTTTAGTTCATTGGTTTTGAATCATTTTCTTCATGATAATAAGACCGAACTACATGTATTCTCCCCCAAACATTGATAATAAGAAATAGGGGCCATAGAACTCACGTTGGTTTTGAGAGTCGGAAATGTTGGGATGCTCCTGTTCTAAGCGGGATTTGGAACGGGAATCTTGGAGTCGACCTAGACATCACATGGCAGAAAAATAATGGGATCAGGAACTATACACACCTGACTAGGACCAAACCCGCCACCGGGATCGTCCGGTTAGAACTGTTCAGGCCACCGGCCACCATGGCAGGCGCCTACTGCTCACTGTGGTTGGTGGACGAATTTTGATCAGAGAAGGTAAGGAATTTACCTGAGATCGATGGAGGAGCAAGGAAAAGATGATTGAAGTTGTTTGATAGTCGAACAAGTGAAGGTAGGAAGGAAGAATGGAAGTAGTCGTTGCTTCTTTTTCTCTGGTAAGCTGCGCCTACAGGCCTGTTTATGGTCAGGGATTTGCTTCAACTGGAATCGGTGGTGATCAGGGAGCTTTGGGTTGGTTTGCCATTGGAGAAAGAGAAGATACAAGGAACTGGGTTTGAGATGGGGAAAACAACTCTAATAGCTGTTGAATCTCTTCTCTGTTTATTGGAGAAGATACAGAAGTAAGAGGTATGGGCAGGTGATAGAAAATGAGTGCACTACAAGAAACGGGACCTATAGGGACGAAAAATGTCGTCTCTATAGGTTCCAAAAGTCGTCCCTATAGGTTTTCGGGACGACATGTCGTCCCTATAGCTCTCGTCACCATAGCCCCGTCGCAATAGATCTTTTTTTTTTTCCGTCGCTAGAAATACCGTCGCAATAGGTAGCCTTTAGAGACAACATGTCGTCTTTTTTTGGTTCGTCGCTATATGATGCCAGTCTCCATACATAAATCTATGGAGACGACATGTCGTCTCTATAGGTGCATCTATAAAGACAACAAGTCGTCTCCATAGATACAACTATAAAAACAACATGTCGTCTCGAGAGATAGTAATATATAGTAAATGCTTTTCATCCTACAACAACAAGTTTCGCTTTTGCACCTACTAAAAATACCTGTTCACACACCAAAATAGAGCAATTTGAAACAATATAATTAGTATAATCAATTAATTAAGTAAGATTGCTGTTTTATCTGGAAAGCAGAAACTTTAGTTGAACTCTGTTTTTTATCAACTCGTTTCTTTTTGAAATGTTTTATAGATCATGAACAGAATTGAGGGATTGCACACCTCACATGTAATTTTCTTCCTTATTGATATGCTTTGAGGATTTATTTAATGATTCAATAACCTAACCATGATTAGATTAGGGATGATACCTTTCAAAAATTCTCTTATTCTAGCTTCATTGTAAACCTCATATGCCTACAAATAGCAGAAGATCAAACCTTGACTTAAAAAGACATCACTACAAGAAAAATAGCCTTTTACGACGCTCATTGCGCGTCATAAAACGCTCAGACGACGCGCAAATGCGTGTCAAGGAAGGCCCTGTCATAAAGAGAGACGACGCGCATTTACGACGCGCGTTTATGACACGCAATGCGTATCAAAGAAGGCCTTGTCATAAAGGAAGACGACGCGCATTTGCGTGTCGTAACCTTACGACGCGTGTGTTTATGACACGCAATGCGTATCAAGGAAGCCCCTGTCATAAATGAAGATGACACGCATTTGCGTGTCATAAACTTCAATACCATTTTCAATATGCATTTACGACGTACCTTTACGATATTCATTTACGCATAATACAAAAATATGGAAACAAATATATACCAAAACAATCAATTTCATTCAATAACATCATGTCAAAAAATTGTAATACATTAATATTAAGGGGATCGGATTGTATATTCTTATTAAGAGGTTTTCTCTATCAATATAACCTAATACTACATTGCTATTTAAGGGCACCTTCTTGTTTCAGATATCATGTCAAAAAAAATCTTCTATATTAGCACCGAGCGTGGATGGCAAGTAATGACTTGCACATTAGCTGAAACAAAAAAGAGCTTCTATTAATCACATAATAAAATTTAGCTAACTGATAAAGTTGTTATATAAATATGTTATTAACTAATATTATCATATCAACATTACAAATAGTAGATAAAAGATATAGCACCTTAGTTATGGTTAGGATTTAACATAAAAAATGATATTTTTAAATATTTAGTGCTAAAATTAAAAATTATCACCTATTGTGTTCCATTCCATGTTGTTTAGCTTCCCATTTAGTGCTAAAATTAAAAATAATCACCTGAGCCAATATGCTTTTGCATCATTAAAATTACATCATCATCACCATCAACCTGCAGGCAGCACAACAAATGCATCAATTATCTACTGCTTGTCTCAGGAAAATTTTGCTGGCACTCTTTGTACTGAAAGAAATTTGGTCAGAGATATTGATTTAGATAACAAGAAAGAAATTCATTCTGCCTTATGATGTTGCCAACATGTCACAAAAGCAGTTTCATGTTATAATTGTTTTCTCTATTAGCAGATTTTAGAATTTAACAAGTTTCACACTAAACATATAAATAGATAGTTTTTGAATGGATGCCTAATCCTTTATTTACAATTACGTTATAATGGCTTCATGTTGTTTATATAAGCCCCATGAAAAGAATATATCATATATGAATGATTTGAGGATGAAACATTACAACATGAACCACATTACACACACACAAAAAAAATCAATTATATTATAAAGAACATATTATATTACCTCACATATAAAACATGTATTGGTATCTTTTACAAAATTATCATACATTATAAATAAAGATCTGGTACTCATACATAATAATAAGTAAAAGAACGTTACAAACAATAAGAATTTCTCCCTAAAGGAGAAGCAAGAAAACCAGTTAAACTGGAGAAATTTTAACCAATCAAAAGAGAAGTCTACCCTCACCTGAACAACCAGTCAAGAAAGCAATGTCGTGTGTGTCTGCACAAGCTTCACCCTTCTTAACTGCTTATAAGAGTCTATAATCCTTTTGATTGTCATTTTCCTTGCATCTGTTTGTTGTTTTTCAGTTAACTCCACATAAGATGGAACTGCAGGTAAATCAACAGATGTTTCCTCCATGACAGGCGTCTCCACTCTGCCTGGTGGTGAAAGTTGATCCTCATCCAAGATTAAAGATGATGGCAGGTGGTCTTTATCTGTCATTGTAATATTATCCGTTGACTTTTGTTCATGTGAGTCAACAGGAGAAAATGCTACATCTGAAACAATATTCAATTTCTCATCAGGACTTTTGTTCATGCGCGTCATATGCTTATAAGTTTGTTGATGCTAATCAGAAAAAATAAAATAGAAAAAATACTTAAAAATAAATTAGAAAAAATAAAAAAGAGTTGGAATGTACAATGTATTCTAGAGCATCAGTTTCCTTCCATCTAGCCCTTGGAACACTAGCTCCAAGCCCAACAGACATTTCTGCAGCCCATTTTACAGAGTCCTTTCCTTTTTGGCCAAATGAGTCTTCAATATTTCCATATTCATTTTCAATATGATAAAATCCATTAAATAAAATACCCAAACTGCCCTTCTACAGACCTGCAACATGATGAAAATACACTTGGTTGAATGATGAACATGCAAAAGTCAAGATAACAAAAGGGTGTTGGGGGTTGTTTACTATTGCCAAGTGGAATGGTAAAATTCCAATCCTGTTTTATAAAAAAATTTAAAAAAGTTTATTTAAACAAAACTGTTTTTGAATAGCAATTTCCAATAGAAAAAACTAGTAGTTTCCTTTTAGTTTTTATTATAAATAATAATGCAGAAGCACTGATTCAACACTCACCTGAAATGGTAGTAAAATCTCAAGAATATGGTATTTATGAAGCAAGGAGAATGAAAATTCAGCAGCCCCAAATGATAGCATATAATTTACCTTTTTAGTCTAATGTTTTAAAAAAATATTGAGCATAACCCTATATCAAGATCTGTATCCAGTTAATGTTCACCAACAATCATTAAGGCTTAAGATGTGACAGTTCCACGAGCACATGATACCTATGATCAATAACCATATAAATCATAATCATGCTACTCACAATTCCTTAAACTATTAATAAACCAAAACCCTTAAATCATATTTTTAATTTAAAAAAAGTAATAACAGTAACAAGTGACATTTACCAACACTCCTTTCCTGACGTTTCCAAGTGGACCACAATATTTTTCATAAGCTGTAAAAACAATATATTGTTAACAAAATAAAATCACAGATTCAGTATTCAAGAACTTAAAAAGAAAAGGAAAAAAAGTATTAAAATGAGCATACATTACATACATACCCATAAATGCACGATGCATAAATCTTGTGCCACGTGTGTCACTGCTGAACACGCTTCTGTAACCAACCAGTCCCCTGAAGCCTCAAATTAACAAAAACGTAAGCCACTTCTTTTTATCACTTTTTTGAAAAAAAAAACATGTTGATAAAATGACGAAACTGACCTTGAAGGACAAGTTAATGTCATTCTAGTCACGCCAAAGTTTCCAGCAACAGGGCCCATGTCAGTAACCTCAGCTCGCCTGTGAGAAAGCGCTTCCATCACCATTCCCACATGCTCTTCATTCACCTTAAATTAATAACAATCATATAAAAAAATCCATATCATTAAAATACAAATACAAATAGTAAATCAGTTTTTTTACCTAAATGGTTACTTCTTCAATTGGCTCTAGCTTCACACCTTTCTCAATCTTGTACCTAACATATTATACAAATAATAATCATTATAAACCCTAAAAGTTCATATAAGAAGTAGAAGATAAAGAAACCTTACATAACTCTTGGAGGGGATACAGAAAGCTCAAAGTGTTCACGCCTCAGATAATTTGAGACTTTCTGCCAAGGGCAATTTGTGAAATTAGTTTCAAAGGCAAAACATGCATCAAAGCTACATGAAGCATGTAGTTAGTTACCTGTGCCTTTTGCAGGCCTTCTGCAACTTCAATTGTTATTCTCCTATCCTAGCAAGCAGTCTCCTCAAACTCCAAGCATTTGTTATAATAGTATGATGCATCATCTACCTCTCCTAGAAGTAAATGACAGCTAAAAATAGGATGTAAAAAGATAATTAGATTATGATTTTTCCTATCTCATAAGTAATTGACAGATAGAGATCTTACTTTGCAGATCTTAAGTTGACCATGAAATTGGGATCTAATACAGCAGCCATTCTACAGTCGTTTAGACCTTCCCTCATTCTTCCAAGAGTCATGAAAACCCACCTTGAAGTTAATAGAAGCAAGCAGACGAACACCTCTCCACAGGGAATGGAGAGGTGTGTATCAATAGAGAAGGTCGAAGATGATGACTGAGGTTACCATTCAACTTGTTTTGGGGGAAAGCCACCGACCACAGGAAACCACTATTTGGGAACACCAAGAAAGCCCTTATACTAAAGTCAACTGCCTCAATAGTGAGGTCAAGATGAGCGATAGCAGATATGCAGACACACAGCTTTCCACCAAGAAACAGTGTTGTTTATTGAAATCAATGTGTGAGTCACGTTAACACAGGGTTCGGGAAATAATGAAGGAGGTAGAAGCGGACAAGTAGGTGACGAGAGAAAGCCATGTCATCATTTTCACTTCATCATGAAAACTTTTCTAGATAAATAAGCCCTAATAGATAGTCCTTGCTCAAGAAGTGAAAATACCAACAGAGAAGAAACATAAAGAATGTACCTTTTGGGACTGAACCAAGAAGGAGCAGGATCAGATGGGTATTGTTGACCGGCGGTGCGTGGGTCGACGACGGTGGAGGAGAGGAGAGATGAGTGATATGATAATCCCTAAAAATCTCTATATCGGGTTTACAAATACACAAACCTCTCATTTTTCCTTTTCGTTAGAACCAATTGAAGGTCAGATCACGACGACGATAGTGGTAACTGATACAGAAGGAAAACCTTGTCAACCACCATGAAACAATTAAGACAAAGTTATAGGTTTTCGTTGCTTCAACCTTCGTTGTTCACAAGCATGGAATGAGAATAGAGGAAGGGGCTTGTTTACCTAGGGTATTTTGAAACGATTGTGCGTTGTGGTGGTATTTGTATGCAGACAGATCGACATGTGAGTAATGGAGTAGTAGTGGTGGCCATCATCTCCATTGTCGACCGCAGACATTAAGGGAGCGGGGATATTAGTGTTTTTTTTTGTGATGATATTAGGGTTTTTTTGGGTATTAGAGTGCGAGAGTTAGAGAGAGAGAGAGAGAGAGAGAGAGAGAGAGAAAAGAATGATGGAAATAAGGTAGAGGATAACAACGGCGGCCTTTCAAACTTTTGGGATTTTTGTTTCCCCCCAGCGGTACAAGTAGAGAATGCGCCTTTCATTAAACAAAAAATATAAACCGACATTTCTAGATGACACCCATTTTTAAATAAGTGCCCTCCGTGTTTTTATTTTTTTTATTGGACATTAAATTTAGGGCACACACAAAAGCATGTCCTCTATCCTTCCAATTTTAGAAGAGATAACACTATTTTTAGGGCACACGCTTTTGCGTATCGTAAATCACCGCGTGTCATTGTTTGCGCGTCATTAAAGGGCTGTTTTCTAGTAGTGCATGATGTTAAAAACAGTAAACACATATATGTTAAGATTTAAGACTACCAATCGCTTGCAATCTCCCATAGGGATTAGGCTTCAAAGAATCAAGTTCATGCAACTTATCATGCAATGAAGAGCTTCTTCTTTGTTTCTAGAATCTTCTCTTCTACTTAAAGGAGACATTGCAAGCCCAATCTAACCAAATAATAATAATAATAATAATAATAATAATAATAATAATAATAATAATAATAATAATAATAATAATAATAATAATAATAATAATAACAACAACAAATATTGAAGAGGAAAAAGGGATTTGTTAGTTGTTAGTTGTTACCTGGGCAAAGTAGTATAGATATTGAAGGACAAGAAATTTTCTGAGATTAATTATGTGTGCAATGTTGTGAGTTGTAAGAAATGAGGCAGCTAAGTTGTAACGCCTGTAGATCCAGGCTAGTCAATTTAGAGACGATAAGCATCAAAAATGAATTCTTGATGGAAGATTATTTAGAAGGATTAATCTTAACCAAGTTGTAGTATATGTCACAAGGTTTCCGTGCATATAAAAAACGCCAAAATCCGAGTTATAACGAAGAAGTTATGACCTGTCGAAGTTTCGCGACAGAACCGGTGCGACCCAGCGCGACGTAAATAGTGAACTTAAGTTAGATAGATATCTATCCTTAGTGATCTAAACAAGAGTTGAAGATTTATTCGATAGTAGTCCAACGATAAAAAGACAGACGAAAACGGAGTTCAGATGAAGGAGTTATGAATTTCGAACGGAGTTTTCCTGTCCCGGCCTACTATAGATATATATAAGTAATATACTTATAATATATTAAAAATAAAGTCAAAATTAGCCAATGGAGTCTAAACTAAAGTTGTAGAGCATAATCTCACCTTCGCGGCGATATAAAGAACGTCAAAAACGGAGTTCGTATGTGAAAGTTATGAATTTTTGAAGTTCAGGGCGCGAAACCCCAAAACTGTCAGAGGCCACGACGTGGCAAGCAGTGCCACGACGTGGCAAGCAGTGCCACGACGTGGCAAGCAGTGCCACGACGTGGCAAGTGTCCTGACACCTCCGGGAGGCCCCCAGATGCAACTTGGGATGACGCATGCAGTGACGATCAAGCCCACGACGTGGCAAAAGGATCCCACGACGTGGCAAGGGCCAAATTTGCCCTATAAATAGATTTGAAGGGCCAGCCGACTATGGTTGCTCCATCCCTTCTCTCCCACTCCCGATACACCGTCTAAGCCCTATTTTAACCCCACGAAGCCCCGGTATCAACCCCGAGACCCGAAGCAAGTCCCGAAGCCCGAAGATCCCGAGAAGAAAAGAGTTCCGAGCCGAAGCTCTGCCCGCGAGAAACTAGGTGTGTGAAGTGATCCCGGTTTCACCAAAGAATACTACTTCTACAAGTCGTAGTGCTGTTCGATCATCTTCTGATCAAGTGAGTGTATACTACCTTTCATAAACACGATAATAATACAAGTATGGTTTGAGTGTATTAAGTTTATTGTTGTTTATATGTGTGAGTGTATACTACCTTTCATAAACACGATTATAATACAAGTATTGCTTGAATGTATTAAGTATATGTTTTGGGTGAGTGTGTGGTCACATTCTTCTAACACATAAATATTAAAGTATTTGTTATGAAATACGTGCTATGTGTTTATATATTGTTTGTTTATTTGAGATTGAGTATGGAATGGATGAACTATATAGGTTTTAATGAGTTAAACTGTATATATATATATATATATATATATATATATATATATATTTGTATCTACGAATATGTTGGGTAGGACATGGGTAGATGAGATCCGTGAGTATGGATCAGATCAAGAGGTTAGTTTTAGATCCGTGAGTATGGATTAGATAAAGAGATTGGATTTAGATCCAAGAATATGGAATAGGAAAAGAGATAAACTTGTTATTAAACCGGGAGTATGGATTAAGACATAGTAAATTATCCCTAGTCCGGAGTATGGATTGGGCACATTTTTAGATCTGGGAGTATGGATCAGACCAATAGGTAAACTTGTCATTAATCCGGGAGTATGGATTAAGACATAGTAAATTGTCCCTAGTCCGGGAGTATGGATTGGGCATAGTTTTAGATCCAGGAGTATGGATCAAACCAAGATATTAGTTTAGATCCGGGAGTATGGATTAGACCAAGAGGTTAGTTTTAGGTCCGAGAGTATGGATCAGGTGGAGAGATTAGTTTAGATCCGTGAGTAGGGATCAGATAGAGAGGAAAAGTTTAGATACGAGAGTTTAGATCGTGGCATTGTGAGGATCGATGGGGTGGGATAAGAGTTGCCTTTATATGGTGAAATTGTACAAGTTTGAATGTTCTATATTTATAAATATATGATATAACATTGTGGGATGAAAACCCTATATGCTCACCAGGCTCCCAAGCCTGACCCACTCAGTTTTCTTTGTATCACAGGTATTAATACGAAGACATATTTCACAGAGAGATTTAAAGGATATATAAATCAATTGTGTAATTAAATGTAAGTTCTGTTTATGCTTATATGTCTGTATCGGAACATGACATCCCGAGGTTTTATTATTAAATGAAAATACATTCTCTTTGATAAATGTTTTGATAAGTTATTATCTTATCTTGTTTTGGGAACAAATTCCGCAACCATTTTCTTTAAAAGATTTCTCTGATTTTATAAAACAAAGCATAAATAAATCGGTCTTTTCTGGCCGTAAAAATGGGGATGTCACATAAGTGGTCAATATCACCCGCCTGATCACAAAAATACAAGAAACAATGTTATTTCCAATTAAGATGAGGATGAGGATGAGGGTATTTACATCTTTTTGACGCATACCTCCCCACAATGAGGACATAATCTAATTTTTGTCATGCCCATTGATTCACGAAGCTTATTTAGGGTATAAAGATTGGCATAAAAATAATAGACATAGTATGAGAATGCAGGATTGAAGATATTTGTCCATTGGGAAGGCGTTGGCATGTGTTTTGTAGGATGTCTTTCAGGCTTGCTCTCATCATCCACCAAATCCAATCCTACCACCTGTATTGTGTTTATAAGAATGTTAAAACTTAAAACATTACATTAAATAAAAATAAATCAAATTCAAAGTATGTGACATGTTGATTTTGAGTGGTGTTAGGTTACTTGTTTCAAGAATACATGTAACTGGGGATGTTACCTCAATGAATGGAAGGAAGACATTATCCAGAATTGTCAGAATTGTAGCTGAACAACACAAGTAGACAAATAAATTTTAGTTAGTTAATATCAAAGTATAAAGATTTGGTTCCCATAAAATAGAGAAAATTGGTATATGTATTATAGTAAGACATCACATGAATCAACCACACAACATTCTCATTGTATAACTCATTATTTACGATCCAACCTGCCAAATTATCCCACCCACTTAGCTTTCTTCCATATATTGATATTTTGTATTCTCAAAGACCTTCACTTCTTATAACCTGTTGTGAAAAGACAAGGGATTGAAATTATTATGTTAATAAGTTTGAATGTAGAGGACATGATCCAGATTTACATATTCAATACAACTTTCCAGTGAATTCAAGGGTGTTGCGATGGATAAGTGTGAATGTAAAGG